AACTTAACTTAACTTAACTTACTTAACTACTACTACTACTACTACTACGTACGTACGTCGTTACGTTACCTTACGTTACGTTACGTTAGTACGTAGAGAGAGAGAGAGAGAGAGAGAGAGAGAGAGGAGGAGGGGGGGGGATGGGGGTGTGCCACCCATGTGGTCCCTTGTGGGACCCACACCCCCATCCACATGGGCTCCACGTGGTCCCACCAAATCTGGGCCCCTACACTCACCAATCAATTTTAAAAATAACAAGATGATTTTTAAAATTTATTTAGTATTTTTAAATTGGCTCTATATTTATAAAACCTGAAGAATCAATTTTAGTTATTTGAAAAATTCTTTTTGATAAAATACAATATACAAGGCATTCTAAAATTTATATTACTATTCTAAAATTCATTTAACACGTATTTAATCCTATTCAAAATATTTTGATGGAAATTGGATCCAACTTCGTTTAAGATAATGTGAATATATTGAGACACCCAATCTCTATTAGCAATCATGTTCTACACTTACTTTTTCAAACTGACCCAATAGTTTCTATGACCTACAATTTTTCGTAAGGGTTTATAATTGGACTATCAAAGTCGGCCAATAGATGAAGATAACATAATTCTAATTCATGGTTTACAAGTTCGCTTTTAGGGACAAGTCTATGTCACATAGACGTTTTCACACGATTGCAATGGTGTATGAAGGTCATCTCTTAAGTATATGTACATGTTGCACCTTTAATGAGATTCGCTTTTCAATATGGCTATCATATGTGCATGATGTGTGATGGTTATGATGAGAACTTGGCCATTGTCCTTTCATGTCATGCAATCATATACAATGATTACGAGATCCCCTGTCTAACCACCTTGGGCATCTCTCCAAGTAAAAATACAAGAAGCTCTCTCTCTCATGTAAGTAAAATGCTCCTAAGCTCTTTCATGTATAGTGAAAGGCTCCTAATTAGATGTAGCAATTGATGTAAGCACTACCATCAACTAAACACACACACACTCTCTCTCTTTATCTTTCTCTCTCATACATGCACACACAAAAACATTGTCGTAAATACACATGCAGAGAGAGAGAGAGAGAGAGAACCGGGAAACAAAGGGGGTGCATGTGTAGATGGAAGTAAAAAAAACTTTCTAGGGGGAAGATGAGATTTCGAATTTTTTGTTTGTGGAGCTATGGAGGATACTCGTATTCGTCTTACGGTGGTAGAGTCACGAACGACAACCCGGAGGTTTGCATGGGGTCAATAGGCAAGGAAGTGTGAAGGAGGTGCAGAAGATGAAGCCTGGAGCTACAGGAGAGGTAGGAAAGCCAAAGATAATAATCATAGACTCGCAAGACTCCATTCATTGGGCTCTCAAGCTAGAACTGGCTATGGTGGGTTCCTTTTGCCGACCTGTCTAGGATTTGAGTATTTTTGAAGATTGGGCTTGGAGGGTATGGAAATGTAAGGTGGTTAGCAGGATCATTCCCGATAACAGACACTTGAGAATTTTTGGCTCCCGGGAGGATGCTGATAGAGTAGCAAGAACACTTTTGGAGGATGTGTGGGTCACTGCTGAATGGTGGAACTCTAAGGCCAATACCTCGCTTATCCGGCCTTCTTCGGTGTGGCTCAAGATAGAGACCATCCCTATCCAAGCATGGACTAAGGCTGTGTTTGAAAAGATAGTACAGGTGTGTGGCAAGCGTATTGAGATTGATTGGTTCAAGACTGCTGGTCCTTCATTGGGTGTGCTGAGAGCAAAGGTTGCCTGCTCCCCGGAGGTAGACATTCCTGAAAGTTTGGTGCTCAAGTTTAATAACGAGGTGTCTTACTCCCCTAAAACACAGCCCCGCTCGGTCATTGCCTCTTATCCCAGTTCCTCTTCTTCAGTGACCCCGTCCAAGGAGAAAGATGGCCTCTCTCCTTCTATGGCTCAAGGTAGCCTTTCTAACTCTGGTAAAAAGGAAGAAGAATGGCAAACCGTTACCAAAAAAATGAAAGAGGCTACCATCAGATCAAAAAGTCCAGCGTGGCAAAAAGTTGGTGGAGGATGAAGGCTCCATGTGCTCGTCCAAGGAGTCTTCTGGTAGCTCCTTTTCCATGCAGGGCACACTCAATGGAAGGCCATAAGGGCAAATTCGTTTTTGCCCTTTCGTCATAGAGAAGATGGAGAGTCCTCCAAATCCAACCAACCGCTCCGCTCCGCTCCGCTCCGCTCCGCTCGTCAAGACGGTTCCCCTCCCCAAAGGTTCTGACTTTCGCGGCACTCCGATATCTTCTGCAGGCCGTCCGGTCGATTTGTGACGGGGGAAGGCTCAATCCGTTGCACCACGTGGAGCCTGCTCGACCATCCAAGTCTGATCTGACAGCCCTTCTGCCTTCCCCTCCCCCCGAGAAGCTGACTCCCTCTCCTTCTCCTTCAAAAGGTATGTCCATCATACCTTTCTGCCCTCCACAAGATTTCCCAGCATCCCAGATAAAGAAACCCAAAAAAATCTCCTGTGGTTTTATCTCTTCTCTGCTGCTATCCTTTCTTTTGCTAATCGTAAAGTTCAACCTCCACCATCAATGGCTTCCCAAAGGATTACCGTTATTGAACTCCCTCAAGAGGAGCCCATGGAGATTATCCACCTTGGTTTGGTCCCTAATCTTTCTAAAGGGGTGGGACAAGGGCTGTGCTTGAGGCCATATTGTTGTTTCTATGCCTTTGATGGAGGCCAAAGCCGCCTCGGATCTCCGGAAAACCTTGTTTTTGGCCTCTTCCCCGCACATCCCCCTTGCTAGTGACTGAATCTTTTAACTCCTCCTTGGAGGAACTCTTTCCCTGTTCTCGTAATTGGCGCCCTAAAAAAGAGGAGAAGAGGAAGGTCGTTCAAGAGAAGGCGGGAGACTCATCAATGCCATGGGTGTTAAATACAAAGGCACCCTGTAGGTGGTGGAGGAAGCTATTGATGCAGTTTAAGATCTCTTGAAAAGATT